AACAAAATATATATAAAAGCAATATATAGTAACAAGGTTGGAAAATTAAATAAGTAAAGTGCATTAATATTATTAAAAAGAATAAATTATTCACCTGGTTTTTCAACTCAGCAATCTTGTTTTGAATTGGGATTAAATGTTCTTGTGATTGGCTGACCAGGGCGATGGTCTTTGCCATGTAATTTGTACGGATTTCTTCTGCCTGCAAATGATATTATTAACGTAAAAGTCACAGAACTCATGGAATACTGGTGCAACATGGAACATTATATACAGATGAGAGAAACACTTGACCTAGTAGGTTGTTAGTACTGTTAAAATCCTAATATAAACCGCGGTTTATATTACAATGTATCAAATAAAAAATTTGGATCTACAGCTCAAGTTCGGGGTGCGGTTTCTATTACGTACATATTGCAATCACTAAATGGGCGTGGTCATTCCCCCCACATCACTTGCACAAAACAAACAATACACCGTACAATCTTTCGAATATAAGCGTAACCCCAATTTAGATGTCAGGGAAGAGTGATAAGCGTCACGTCACACAAAAACTGTTCACATGAAAAAAAAATACTCAGTATATTTAATGTAATATGCATTTATTTTTTTAATTTTCTTCGTAACGGGAAGTATATTCTGACAGGTTAATGACAGGTCATCAATTTCATGGCGAACGCAACACGGAAGTGATTTCCGATAATGTAGTGCAATCTTTTGGCTTTGATTTCCATGGGAAAACGACATGAATTTTTTTTTTAATCAAGAAATTAGTTGTTTTCGAAAGATAAACTGAGCATTGAAAAAGAATTTAACAGTTTTTCGGTGATAACAGCTCATTGTCGAAAACTTGCGACACACGGAGATATTCATAAGGAGTATTGACAAAAGTTGTCGCAAGAACAAAAGCAGTTTCACTGCGTGTTTGACATCCTAACACTACTAAACAATAAAGAGGTGTGAATATTTTTAGACACGTTGTCGAAACAAATGAATAGGATTAGGAACAATGTACCAGCTGGTTGAAACAAAGTCAGTCACGGTCTTGTTGAATTGGGGGTGCGGTTAGTCATAGGTACTTTTCGTGTTTTCAATTTTTGTTGAGAACTCTTTAACACTGAAGCCGAAATCGGGGGTGCGGTTACTATTAGGTATGCGGTTTATAATAGGATTTTAACGGTAGTGATGAAATCGTTACATTTGTAATTGACAAACAAAACACATTACAAGAAATTATAAAGGATAAAGATAAAACATTGCTTGAAAAAAGGTAAAGTTAAAAAAAAGGGGAACATTTTTTAATCTTGTTTCAAAATGACCTACACAAGAGGCAAGTCATTGTTTCCATGGAAACAAACTTGAACTCAACCTCTTTGCATTTTGTCACTCACTCCCAGCAATGTCTCACTCTACTGTTACATATTTATGTTTTACAATACCTCATCTTCCAGTTTACTTTCTCTAAGTGTATGTCCAACATTGGGATGGTTCTGTTTTAATATTTGATGTAGGTTGTACACTGTATGTAATCTTTGGATTGAATCTGTTTTCAGTTGTTCCTTATGTTCCTCAATAGATCTTAGAACATCACGGTATTTGCCAACAGCCTCCACATGCTGCAAAATAAAATCAGACACGTACATGATCATCAGAAATAAGTATTTAACACAAGGCTTTCAACTTGCTCTATCTAATTTTGTTATGATACTGTTTTTTTGGGGGTCCTGAATTTTGATCTGACACAAACTTAATTTTTAACTATAAATAATCTATGTCTCCTCACTTCTTCCGACAGCAAAGCACTCCTTAATTTGGGAGAGGGGAACACGAATATAACCACAAATGTCAAGCTTTTTTTAGAAGGTTTTTAACAAAAACTCTTCAGTCTTAAAATGGTGGACTGATACTTTTACAGTGATTATTTAACATTTCCAATATTGCAAATTCAAGTGCAGTTGAATCGGCTTCAATTTTGAGACGTTTAACACACAAAACACAAAACTTACCGGTATTTTTATTTTAAATTTGGTGCTCATTGGCTCCATGTGCAAAATTGTCTCTGTGGAGAGTTTAGTTGTAGTATCAGACTAATACCATTCTAGGCATATTTAATTTATGTCTACTCACTTCATCTTTAATGATATGTAATGCTGCTATACCATTCAGAGCGCATATAAGCTGACGATGTGCGTCTTCACATTCTATTTTGATTTTCTGAATCAAGGACTGCAGTAATTCCTCCATTGTCATCATTGTCTTACGTATTGGTAAGAATTCTCCACGAACTGCTTGTGGATGGCAACAAGCTTGACGCAGCTTTAACAACGGTAACATCATCTGAAAACCAAAAAATGGGTCGATTAAAATAAATCCAGGTTCATTTGGTCCTGACAAGATGTGACGCACTAATCAAATCATTCTATTATTTGGTAAGATTTTTCAATTATTTACTTGTGAATCTTAACATGGTTAAGTAAACATGAATGTCCCATACGATTTCCTATGGAAATGGTTTCAGAGTTGTGTGTGGTAAAAAAAAAAAATTGGAATCATTGTGAATCAACATGTTTTTCAATAAAATTTGAACATATAATATAATGGGAAGGCAAAACAATCACCAATATTTGGATGCACTGAAAATCAATGAAAACTGAACATTTAGTATAGTTCCCATAATTCATGCATATACAGACATCGTATATTTCTTATATTAGTCCCCAGTAGAGATATATCACTGATTTATAAGATTAGAGTATGCAAAGGTGTGATATGAGATTAAGATCTCAGGTGAATTGAAGTTACGTGAATTGCAAGATGTTCACAATATGGCAAGAGAAATCAACAAACAAGAAGTCTAAAGCAAATTAGTGAGTCAGTGAAAGAACTGATTAGTGTATATATCTCAGACACTTTTTGATAGTGTCGCAAAACAAGTAATATGCATTTTTGAATATATAGCGATAATCTCACTCATTTACGTAATCAAACATTTCTAAGAATCCACTGCATACTGTGTTGTTGGTCAGAAATTTGATTGACGAGTACGAAACAAGATCGCTTTAAAAAGCTCGCAAAGAGCAAGAATTTGCTTCACGTGAGATCACCATATATCACCATGGTTATGATGTCAGTTGCTACCTTTACCTTATAAATCCTTAGCTATATAATTGAACTAAACTTCTAATAAAGTAAATATGATAGTGGTGTCTACATTTTGATGGAACTTTTATAAAAGGTGGTGAAACTCAGAAAGGTTATAGGACTAAAATAAAGTACTTACAGCATGAACAACATCTCTGTCCAATTTATTCAGCTTAGTATCAGGATCTTGAGGCCATTTGTTCATTACCTGGAAAAAGTGGAAAAGGCATGCATACAAATTTACAATATTGTATTGTATTGTATTGTATTGTATTGTATTGTATTGTATTGTGATTTTTGATTTACGGGTATGTAAAACGAAATTACATTAACGGATGTAACTGATAACTTTTCCAATGAAATCCTTAGCACCCCGTTGGCAGGCCAGTCACACTGGTTTTCACCACAAGAGGTTACGATCCCCCCTGCCAAATGCTAAGGAAAACTGAAACGTATATATACATATTTACATGAAAAATTGTCCACCTGTGCGGATCTATTTGTGCAGGAGTTTTACGACCGTATGCCCTTACTGACGTCAACCGAACTTGTTATGTGGGAAGTTGGCACCCAAGGCTCACAGGTGCTACACCTTGCCCAAGGGTGACCTGGAGGTAGTTGCGGCAAAGGGTAACCTCATTCTCCCGAGTACAAAAACTCCGCAACTGGATGTAGTTTAACATCTTGCCCAGGACACATATATACATATTTAAATAAACGTAAACGTTGCCTTTAATAGGTAATACCTCACATGTGAGGCTGAGTTGGTGCAAGGCTTTTATGACCGTATGCCCTTACTGACGTCAACCAAACTTGTTATGTGGGAAGTTGGCACCCAAGGCTCACAGGTGCTACACCTTGCCCAAGGGTGACCTGGAGGTAGTTGTGGCAAAGGGTAACCTCATTCTCCCACGTCCATATACTCCACAACCGGATGCAATTGTATTGTTACAATATAGAGACAATATAGAATACCCACTCTAATCACATCTTTAGAACAATCTTGATGTTTCTTGATAGAAAT